CCCTGGAGGTTTGCTTTTTCCAAAATATAAGTGGAATAACATCATAGAGCCTTTTGAGTCTGGCTTCTTTCACTTAGCACAACACACTTGGGATTGATCCCTATTTTTACTCATATCATAGCATACATTTGAAAGTTTGATTTCCTTTTTATTGCCAAGGAATATCCCACCGTATGGATGTACCACAGTTTGTTTATCTACTTGCCGGTTGAAGGACATGTGGGTTATTTCCAGTTTGGGGCAATTAGGAGTAAGTTCACTGTAAATGTTTGTATACAGATTTTTGTATAAGGGCAAGTTCATTTCTCTTGGGTAAATATGTAGGATTGGGATTTCTGGGTCGTATGGTAAGAGAACGCTTAATTTTATAAGAAAATGTCAAAGTGTTTTCCAAAGTGGCTGCACCTTTTTGCATTTCCTCCAGCCATGTTTAAGAGTTCCAATTGCTTTGCACCTTGACCAGGACTTGATATCATTTTTTTTTTCTTTTGACCAATCTAATAGTTGTGTGGTGGTATCTCCTTGTGGCCTTAATGTGAACTTCCCTTATGAGGTTAAATTGATGTGTGTAATTGCTAGTTAATCCTGTAGTGTGTGGTCTGTGGCTGGCCAGGTCTTCAGGCCCAGACACTGCTTCCTTGGAGTGCTGGGAGAACCCAAGACACCATGAGGCCTTTTCAGGGGCAGATGACAGGTTCAGGGCTGTGCCAGGAGCCCTATTTTGCTCAAAATAAGTGGGTGCCTGCAGTCCCAGCATGCCGAGTTCCTCACCTGTGTGGGCTGGTTGGCTGGGTAATGACTTTGGCCAGGCTGTGACCACTGGTGCTGAGAATACCTCCAGCTACCCACAGTGGCCTTGCTCAGGCAGAGATGCACTTGTGGTACGAGAAGTAGGAGTGAAGGATGGGGCGGAGCTGCCCATGCCAAAGGCCCTATGGTTGCCTTCAGTGAGTGCCATTCCAAAACTGCCAGAAAGAGGTGCTGCCCCATTTAAAAAGTAGAGCTTATAGGGGTGTGCGTGTCTGCTTCTGCACCCAAAATGGGCTTTCTAGTGACTCATGATCAGATTTGTCACTCTGCTCCACTGCCTGGCCCCTGCTACCAAGTCTCCAGGGAGACTGCATGTGGTAGGACCTCAGCCTTTGCCTCACCATCCAGAGAGACCCAAACCCAGGTGTCTGCCTTTCCTCTATTTTGCTATATATCCCACTGACCATGGCCACAACTAGTACTCCCAGTGAAGCGTCTGCCTGTCCCTATTGGCCTGGCCCTCTGACCAGGGCTCCCACTGTTCGTCTATCCCTGTTCCTCACCCCTGCTGGTACAGATTTCAGAGAGATGACTACCCCCTCAGGCCTTCTTTCTTGGGAGCTCTCTACTCCAGGCCCAGGCCCTGCTTGGCTGTAGATGAGCTGGCTGTGTCTTGCTCTCCTCCTACCTTCCTTCCCTGGATGCCTCCTCCATCAGCTCCCTGCCCTATCTGAGACTGGTACAGATGGGAACAGATAAAGGCAGGAAGTCTGCGAGGCCTGGTGCAGCAGGTTAGGAAGAGGACTGAGCTGGGCCAGGGGGCAGGGAAGGTTTGGAAGAAGGAGGAAAGGATGGGCAAAGAGCCAGGAGTAAGAGCATTGCTGGGAATATAAGGGCATGAGGGGAGAGGGAAAGGGTAGTATCTGTCCACATCTGAAGGATCTGAGGTTTAACTCTGGAAGTGCTCAGTGACCATCAAGAAGCCAGGGTCGGAAGCTCATCCAGCCTGCTCCTTTCCCCCACCATGCCCCAATCCATATACGTAGAGCCCTGGGTCATCCTCCCCCCGCCCATGCTTGTGGGTGCAAGGCCTGGGAGCTGAGGGACCTCTGTGTAGCCACCTGCTCCTCCCTTTCCATCACTCATGCAGCAAGCAGCCAGGGGCATCTCCTCTCTCTTGAAAAGGCAGGGCATGGAGGATAAAGAGAAAAGCCCAGAAGAAGGAGGTGGAGGTGACTCATGCCACTTGAACTATACACCCCACATCTGCAGCTCCCAGGTGGCACTAGGAGGCCTGGGGGAGTGTTTGTGGCACAAATATAGCACAAAGATCACGGCCTCTCTTCTCAGACCATGGCCCACCCAGTCCTTCCGCATTCCTCCCCACTCACCTGAGACAGCTGCCCCAGGTAGGCCTCCTGGCAGAGCCATGGAGATTTACAGGTTGCCCCTCTGCTCCAAAGTGTCTGAGTCACTGGCAGGAATCCATGCCCTGGGTCCAGGGATGCCCAGCCTGTACCATCTGGCCTGGGGCCAAACACCTCATCACCAGGCCTCCTTCCCAGGGTTTCTCAGGCTGGCATCACCGTTCGGTGCCTGGCTCTGGCTTTTACCATCAAATCCAGGCGAGTACCCTGGACTGAGAATAACAACAACCAGGCTACCTCCTCTGTGTGCCAGGCACCACCCAGCTCATCATAAGCCTTATCTTCTAGCACTGGGCCTCTGCCGTCCCCTCCCCACCCTTGGGCTCCTCACCTCCATTGTCTGTACCTGGACCACTTTCCCCCCTCCTGCTGCTATTATTGCTGCAATATAGCCTGGCGGACAGGAAGGCCACATTCACCAACTAGGCATGACCAGGCAGGCTCTCTTCTCTAAAAGGTTCAACAGACAAGGGCAGGAGGGCCCTGTTGGCGGTGCCACAGGGCAGGGAACAGGGCCAAGGCTGTTCCGAGTCCATGACCACTGGGTGCCTCCTGTACAGCAGCCCAGAACACCAAGCACTGAGGTCCCCCAGACCCCCTCAGAGCCCAAGTGGACAAGCTTGGCCATTTCTGCTGCTCGGCCTCAGCTGCTCTTCCACCTTCTCAGGGCTTCTATTTCCTCTCACAGCAAAGGGTTGAGGGGAAGCCACTCGGTGCTCTCCCAGCTCTGAAACACTAAGACTGAAATTCCAGGTGATTCAAAACGTTTGTGAGCACCCCCCAGGCCAGAAGCAGATGACCACAGAATCATGTTCCTCATGACCAAATCAAAACCCTGAACCTAGGTTGAGAGCTAATGCCCGGGCCCCAGATTTAGAAATATAGCAATTCACTCACTTTCAACACTTGGCATCAACTCCCAACAAGTTGCAGCCTGAGCAGAAGCAGGAGTGAACATCTATGATCTGTCTTTTCAAACCTGGTACCTCAACCCTCTTGGGGCCCAGATTGAAAATGAGGGAATGCAGACATAGATGTCAACTTGCAGACCATGAGATCAGAGCCCAGATCAGCTCAGACAGGTGGAGTGATTCTCTCTTGTGGTCGCCCAGGGGAGGGGGCACAGGGGATTGGAACCAAGGATGCTAGGCTTTTCCTACATGTCAGCAGTGCTCTTTACTCCACATCATGCAAGTCCAGTGGCCTGTGCCCACAGCCCCTCCATCCTTCCCCCTCTGCCCCTGCACACTATTTTGGGGATGAACTCTGGTTATGGTGAATGCCATTCTGCGGTCCCCTGTGGATGGAGCTTTCACGAAGCCATTAAAAACCACAGAAAAGCAGGGCACCTGGGTGTCTCAGTCAGCTGAGCATCTGACTCTTGATTTTGACTCAGGGCATGATCCCACAGTTGTGGGATTGAGCTCCACATCATGCTCTGTGTTGACAGCATGGGGCCTGCTTAGGATTCTCTCTCTCTTTCTCTCCCTCTGCCCTTCTCCCACTTGCATGCGCTCTCTCTCTCTCTCTCTCTCTCTCTCAAAATAAATAAATAAACATTAAAAAAAAAAAACAACAGAAATGTGTCTGGACAGTGCTGTATTCACTGTGCTTAACCAGACAAAGATCACATGACATTGACACTCAGCAATCCCGGCTGTGACCCAACTCCTTAACAGGCATCAAACTGAGACCTTTGACCTTCCTACCAGGATCTGGCTTGTCTTGCCCTCCCCTCCTACCCCCAAGGATGGGGTTTTCATGAGAAACTGAGGTCTTTCCTTCCTAGAGGTTTAAAGCTTTGGTTCCAGGGACTCCTTCACTAATTTAGGAATCTAGGACAAGAAGGGACTGCAGTGCCCTTAACTGAGCCTCCAGGAGTCAGTCTATGCTGACAGCTGTCAGCCATGAGTCAGTGACATCCTGCTGGACCAGGAGGACACCTGAAGTCCCCATCTTCACCTCACTGAAGGATGGCTGCTCAGGCAGGAGGTGATGGAAACATGTGTGGAGAGATGTATGTCTTGGCTCACTCCTGAGCCACACAGCCATCACGCTATCCTTCCAAACATCCCTCTGCTTATTTATTATTCATGCAGTCCGTGGTTGGTGGGAACTGGGAGACAGCAATGTCACTAAAGTCATGAGAGAAGAGAGCTAACAGCCGTGAGGTGGTGTTGACTCTTCTCTTTCTCAACCACACATTGGTCCCAAGTTCCTTGTCCTCCCACCGCCACTGCCTACTCAGATCTTCCCTTACCTCTTCCTAATGACCTCCCTACCTGAGGTCTGCCACACTCAAATCCATCCACCACACTGGCTGCCAGGGCCCCTTTCTAAAACGTAAGCCTGATATAATCACCAGGTTATGCCCCTTCCATAAAATCCATCCAAAAGTCTGGCAGAGACTGGAAGATTTCACAACCTGACCCCAACTTGCCTGAGTCATCTCTACTTCCAAAGAGGCACTAATGAATGTGAATGAATGAACAGCACACTCAAAACTCTGGCAGGGCTCACACCCTACAGACATTAGCATCCAAAAAAGCCAGGCCCCAGCAGTGGCCAGAAGGACACAGACTTGGTCTTGCTCTCTACTCTTTGATGCTGCTCCACAGCTCATATCTGTGGGGAATGTACCTAGATTAGCAACCTTCACCTGGGAAGTCTGCAGAGCTCTGGAACCCTCAGTTTTATGGCTCTTCCTAGAACAGTGTGGCTGGGATGCCACCTCCCTAGAACAGGGCTCTGACCCAGAGACCACGGCCACTCCCACAAGTGGTTGGGGCCCCAATCCAACATAAGCTAAAATCATTTATTTACACAAAAATTCATTTCTGTAGAATTTGGGCTTTAATCTGTGGGCTTGTGGCCTCTTTGGGTCCAGAGGGATTTTCTCAAGTTCTGAGCCAGAGGTGTCCTTAGTTCATTATCCTCAGGTGCCACTCAATTCCCCCAGCTCCTGGGGCAGTATCAATGACAAGTAAGCCTCTCGAAATGATGCCAAGTCTTATCATCTTCAGGAAGGATTTTCAGGATGCCCTTCTTACCTTTCCTGGTCCCAAGGAGTACATGTCTCAGGGCTTCAGTTGTAGTCACTAGCTGGGCAAATCCAAAGGAGACTCAGTCCTGAAGGTTCATCCTGCAGTCTGTAGGCAGTCAGAAAAAGATATGTATGGGAATATAAAACACAGTTTGGCAATTTCTTTAAAAGTTAAACATGGGGCACCTGGGTGGCTCAGTTGGTTGAGCGCTGACTTCAGCTCAGATCATGATCTCACAGTTCTGTGGGTTTGAGCCCCACAATGGGCTCTGTGCAGACACCTCGGAGCCTGGACCCTGCTTCAGATTCTTTGTCTCCCTCTCTGCCCCTCCCCTGCTCACGCTCTGTCTCTGTCTCTCAAAAATAAATAAACATTTTTTTAAAATTTAAGTAAAATAAAAGTTAAACATATATCTGTCATGGGAATACAAGCTGGTGCAGCCACTCTGGAAAACAGTATGGAGATTCCTCAAAAAACTAAAAATAGAACTACCCTACGACCCAGCAATTGCACTACTAGGTATTTATCCAAGGGATGCAGGTGTGCTGTTTCGAAGTGACACATGCACCCCAATGTTTATAGCAGCATTATCAACAATAGCCAAAGTATGGAAAGAGCCCAAATGTCCATCAATGGATGAATGGATAAAGAAAATGTGGTACATATATACAATGGAGTATTACTCGGCAATCAAAAAGAATGAAATCTTGCTATTTGCAACTACATGGATGGAACTGGAGGGTATTATGCTAAGTGAAAATAATCAGTCAGAGAAAGACAAATATCATATGACTTCACTCATATGAGAACTTTAAGAGACAAAACAGATGAACATAAGGGAAGGGAAACAAAAATAATATAAAAACAGGGTGGGGGACAAAATATAAGAGACTCTTAAATATGGAGAACAAAGAGAGGGTTACTGGAGGGGTTGTGGGAGGGGGGGATGGGCTAAATGGGTAAGGGGCACTGAAGAATCTACTCCTGAAATCATTGTTGCACTATATTCTAACTAATTTGGATGTAAATTTTAAAAATAAAATGAAATAAAATAAAATAAAATAAAATAAAATAAAATAAAATAAAATAAATAAATGCATGCATGTGCATGCACACACACACAACATGGAGGTTTTCAAAGGTAGAAGTACTCAGGTAGAAAAATAAAAGAAAAATATGAAAAAAAAAACCATACATCTGTCATATGACATGACCATTTCATTCCTAGAGATTTACCCAAGAGAAATAAAAGCACATATTCACACAAACACTTGTACACAAATATCCATAGCAACTTAATTTGTAGTAGCCTGAAAGTGGAAACAACCCAAATGTCCATTGATAGGTAAAGAGATAGCCAAATTGTTGTATCATTCATGCAATAGAATACTACTTAGCAATGAAAATAAATTAACTGTTAATATACACAATATGGATGAATCTCAAAACAATTATGCTGATTGATAAGAAGAACAAATAAAAATATTACATACTAGATGAGTTCATTTATGTAAATTTCAGACAATGCCAACTAATCTACAGTGATAGGGCAACAGATGGGTGGTTGACTACAGACAGTGGGGATGGGAGGGAGGGATGACAAAGGGACATGAGGAAACTTTTGGGAGTGATGGATATACTCATTATGTTGATTGTGGTTATGGTATTACAGGTGGACACATGTGTTAAAACTCACCATATTGTATACTTGAAGTATGTTCAGTTTATATATATAATATATAACTTAATAAAGTTTATATACATTAATTATAACAATAAATCTATTTAAAAAGAAGAAGAGGAAAGGGCAGAGTCTCCCTGTATCCCCATTGTGGGCTTCTGTTGCCCTCAGGATATAAGGAGCACCCAGCTCAGTCTGCAAGTCCTTTCTAGCAGCCTGGTCACCCTTTCCAGACTCATCTCTTGTATCTCTCTTGTGTGGCAATGAATCAGTTGCGGCTCCCTGAATGTACCATGCTATTCTACACTTGTGCGCACTGTGCCCTCTGCCAGCAGGGCTGTCTCCTGCCTCAACCACCCAGAAAACTCCTACTCCATTGTCAAGGCCCTGCTCAGTAGTGCCCTTTCCACAGAAGCCTTCCCAGCCCTAGCAGGTCACTGTGAACAGCAACTTCCTCTGTACTCCACAGTCCAAGTACACAATTTGCTGTTAGCATCCGTTCATCCCAGCAGACTATGGGCTCCTTGAGGCTAGCGACAGCATCACATACATCCCTGTCTTGTCTGTGCCAGGCCCATGGGCATCCGTGAGGCTTTATTCAGTGAATTTAATATGCCCAGGAAAGTGGGGTGGGTCAGCATGGGGTGGGGCATGAGAGATTCAGAAGAACAGGAGCTAAGAGGTGGGAAGAACCAGGAAGGGCAGAAGGCACAGCCTCCAAGGAGAGGCAGACTGCTTCCCTAGAAAGAGAAGAGATTATACTATTAGGACTCAGCCAGAGCCTCAGGTGGGTGGGGTTGGGTAAGGTGGGTCCCCTTATTCCCCACACAAGGAGCTGAGGACTCTGCTCCAAGGCTCATCAGGAAATTCCAACAACTGTTTGTTTGCCTGCATTCCCCAGGCCTGGTGAAAAATGGCATCAGAGACTCCATCTGCAGCTAACAGCTCCGAAGGGTGGAATGGGCGGCAGGCCCCTCAGTGACTCCTGGACACAGTAAGAGAGAGAAACACTGCAAAAGGAACCCCATGAGCCCTGATGACTTGAGTAACTGCCCAGCAGTCCTGGCCACCTCTTCCTCCATGTGTTCGGGGGTCCTACGCAGCCTTCTGACTGGATGACTGTGTGGGTGCAACCCTTTCTCCATTTAGCCCTGCAGCCTTGGCATTCCCATTCAGCTGTAACCTATTAGGAGCTGGGCTACACAGGTGGAAGAGAACTCCCACTCTTCCTGATCAATCAGGGAACAGTGCCAGGGCCTAGTACAGTCGGCCCAGAGGAAATCAGTCTTCGGGATCAAATCTGGGAGAATAAATACCCAGCAATGATGGGTATTTCCACAAGCATCTAGATTGGTAACTAGAGACACATGTGTGTGCCAGGGGCTGAAAGTCCCTGCACCACTGGAGCATACTCAGGAGGAGGGACAGCCAAGAGCCAGAGGCACTGCCCCGGGGTAACAAGCCTGGGCCCAAGTCAGAAATGCATCATTTGTCCAATGATCATCAAACTATTTTCTGATGCCACAGGCAGATAATCATAAGTGAAATTCTTCTTTCAAAATACAAGTGATACCACCGGGGCCGATCCCATTATTTACTCTTGAGCAGAACCAGCCATGACCTTGTTGCTCTTGGGTCCCATCCCAGCTGGTTAAGTAAGTGGCTTCCCACCAAAGGGCTCATTAAAGGTCAGCCTCTCTTAGAAGGTATCTTGTGGCACCTCTCTTGGAGATGGGCCTTCTAATGTCACATTGTTTGAAAATTTGTCAAGCTGGCATCCCAAAGTGAGATCCTACAAACTCATTCTTAAGCCCACACACTCTAGCTTAGAAAAGTTGCTAAGACTCTCGGCACCTCAGCATCTTCGATGGCAAAGCATCTGTAATTCACTTCTTTTCTTTCAATCCACAAATGTTCTTAGGTTCCTGCTGCATGTGGAGCACTGTGCTAGGTATCTCAAAGAAGAGAGATGAATACCTTACCAGATAGAGGCTTGCAGCCAGCACTCAGACACTCACTGACCCTCAGCCTGAGAGCCAGGTCCAGTGAGAGTGCTTAGGGATGTCGAAAGTGAGGGCAAGGGCAAAGGGCTCACAGCACAGTGGCCACACAACACAATTCAGAGTGCTCTATGAACTGATCAAAGATGTTCCAGAGCAGGTGTAGTGGGAGCAAAGTGGGAACAGCATCTGGATTATGTCATTATCATTCATATCTCACTCTCCAGCAGAATTAGATGAGCTGGTCTTTCTACCGGGAGTGTCAAGGGTCAGGGAAGGCTTTGTGGGGAGGGGCTGTTTCAACAGTCTCTGAGTAATAAAAAGAGGTTTGCCAGACAGATAAAGGGTGAAAGGGAAGCCCAGGCCAAGAAAACAAGATTAGCAAATCCGAGAGAAATGTCTTAAGATATGAGATAAGATGTGCCTTAAAAGAAGTACAAACTTTGCTATTCAAAGAATTCCAGAGAAATTCCCCAAATTAAAAAAAAAAAAAAAGATGCAGTAATATTGGCCTCTTGATACAAGAATGTGCGCCTGAGTCTGGCACTGGCCTAATTCTCCTCCCTCTGTCTCTGCAGGGAATTTCTTGGAGATAGCTAATGCTAAAAGCCCTTGTTAATGTTTTCTTCCAAAGACACACCGATTCCCCACTGGATAATTAGGATGTAGCTGAACCTTTGGAGAACAGTTGTTTTCTCTAAAGGGTATAAACTGCGGCAGTCCAGGGACTGACTAGGGCTCCTTAACTGATGTATTTTATCTGCATTTGAATCTCATATTCTATTTTGTAAGGGCATGCACCTTCTTTTTTTTTTTTTTTTTTAGCTGTTTGAGCTTATTTAAAGAGCTGTCTATTTTATACATTCATATGAGTAAAACGGCATAAAGTGCCGCATTTGATAAGAAAGTGGTTGCTTTATACAATGTAGTCTATAATGATTTTGGATCATAGAACTGCTCTTTCTTCCAGACCTGGGCTTCTCTATAGCCAGCGCAATGATTTCCAAACTGCTGCCTACCCCACCCGATGGAAATCTAGAAAGGTCTCTCCAGGCAGGGACCGTGCAATACACATTGTCAGAGTGGACGTGTCCAGACCTCACCTCCCAGGGAACTGATATAAGGGCCATAGGGACAGGAATGACTGAGGCTAAGCTCAGGAAAGGACAGGGGGTTCCCTAACCAACACCAAATGGTCTGAAGGGACAGGATACTGCAGTGTCATCTGAGTTTTGGTAGCTCTTATTTTTTCTAATTTTTATTATTATTTTTTTTTTAGAGAGAGAGAGTGCATGCGAGGGGGGGAAAGGGGCTGAGGGAGAGGGAGAGGGAGACAGACAGAGAGAGAGAGAGAGAGAGAGAGAGAGAGAGAGTCTAAAGCAGGCTCCACACTCAGCACAGAGCCTGACATAGGGCTCGACGTG